CCAGCCCGCCCCGCGCTCCCCGGGGAGCCCCGGCCGGGCTGTAAGGGAGCGCAGCCCGCCCGGCTCCTCCGCCGTGGGGCGGCCGGGGGCGGCCGGCAGGGGGCAGCGCAGCCCGCGCCCCGCGCCGGGACATGTCCCCCCGGCCCCGGGAGACCCTCCCCGCGGGCCGCGGGCCGCCGCCTCGGGACACGGGCCGCTTTCCCCCAGCTCCGCGGTCTGCGCCGCCTCGAGACGCGCTGAGGGGGACAGCGCAGCCCGAAAACGTCGGGCGCAACGGGTAATCCTGGAGAGGGGAAGCGGGGGGGCTCAGCCCCCGCACGAAGCCCCGCGGCATCGCCCGCGCCACGGGCCAGCGCCCGCGCGCTGAGCCCCAAGCACAAGATCCTCGCGCTTTCCCTGTTTTTGCAGACTTCGGCTGGCAGAGCCCCATGGGGCGCAGTGTGGACCCCAGCGGTGCAGTGCTGGGCGCTCTCTCCTGGTGCCCAGTACCGGCTGCGGGGCCCTGTGCCCTGCCCTAGGCTGTGGTGCCGGTGCCAGCACCCAGGTTCAAGCACCCAGTGCCCACCACGCAGTCCTGGTGGTCAGTACCTAGTCCTAGGGTTCGCTAGATCCCAGTATCCAGTCCTGGGTACCAGTCCATAACACACCCCGTATGTGGTCCCAGTCCTAGCGCTCAGCCCCAGTGCCAGCCCCGGTGTCCAGTAACTAGTATTAAGTCCTTGTGCCCAGTAGCTACTACCCAGTCCCAGTCCTGGTGCCTTTGGTACTCAGCCCCAGTCCTGCAGCCCAGTGCCTAGTTCCAGAGCTCAAGACCAAGTCCCCAGTGCCCGTGTCCAGTACTGGGTATCAAGCCCCAGTGCCCAGTCCCAGGGCCCAGTATCCAGCTGTGCGTGCCCAGCGCCCCCAAAGCAGCAGCAGCACCGGTGTCCCCGGCTGCCGGTGCCGGCAGGTGCCGCTGCGTGCCCGCGGGGCCCTGTGGGCCGGGCTGGGGCGGGAGCGGCGGCTCCCTCAGCGCGGCCTCCATCCCATCCCATCCCATCCCATTCCATCCGCCCACCCGCCCACCAGGACCATGCGCTGCTGCTGCCGCGGCTGCTTCCTCCTCCTCGCCCTGCTGCTCCTCCCGGCAGGTAAGTGCGGCCCGCGGCACCAAGCGGGCACCCACCGGGCACCAAGCGCCGCCGCTTCCTCCTCGCCCTGGGGAGCCCTTGGCACCACGGGATCAGGGCAGCACGTACGTAGGTGCAGCGGGGCAGGGCAGCACGTATGTAGGTGCAGTGGGGCTTTTCGCATGCCTGGCAGTGCGATGCCATGGTCCAGAGCCAGCCGAGGTGCTGGAGGAAAGCAGCAGGAGCCAGTGCCCATGCTGCTCCTGCCTCCCTCCCGCTGGCCGCGCCGGGCTCCTCCGGCGGGTGACCAGCCCCGCGGTGCCGGGTCGCGTTTGGGGCTGCCCGTGCCAGACCGGCAGCACCGCGCTGTGATTTCCCAGCTTTGGGGTCAGTCACACACACCCCCCGGCCGGCTCCGAGGCGGCGGCATGTGAAAGCCATCGCTCCTGCCATCACACTCATCAGGTTGAGCCGGATAAACCCCACGGAACAGCCAAGGCGCTGACAATGACGCCCAGCAGAAGCCATAAACCTGCCCTTTGCCTGCAGGAGAGAAGGGAGGATTTACTCCTGATACTGCTCCCTCTCACTCGGGATGTAGCTGAGGATGTAGCTCCTGCCATAGCACTTCCCTCCCGGAGTAAAAACCTGTCTGTCGGCTGCTGCAGCCACGAGGCTTTTGCCATTTAACTCTGCTCTGCACATCACCCTGCGGCTGGTGTACTTTGAAATACCCCCCATGGATTTTCTGCTCTTAGCATCCGCTCGCCTCGGGTGGATGCACAGACTGACGTGTCCTGGGATGCACACGGTTTAACTGCTGGAAATGGGTTTGCTTGTTGCAAAATGCAACAACCAAGACTATTAAAAAAGGAAAAAAAAGGAAAAAAATGCTTTGGAAAGATGGGATGTTGTGAACAACTGGGCTTAATGAGCACCAGGGCTCGCACGGAGATGAAAAGTCCCGGCGAACGACCCCGCTGCCTCGTTTAGCTGCTCCCAAAGCGGCTAAAGCCGATGGGCTGGCGATGTGCCAAGGTGCCCGCTCACGGCAGCAGGGAAACGTGCCCCAACCCAGAGGGGCGCCGGACCTTTCCAAGGGCCCCGATAACAGGGCTTTTTTATTATTTACTGTAAGATTTTACTTACTTTCTCTGTGTGATACCAGCCCAAACTGACCCAGCCCGCGCAGCGCGATTGCCGCCCTTGAGCTGCCTTAACCCCCTGCGCGCTGCCGCGCGGGACCCGCTGCGGTAACAGGCGCCGTCTCCTTCGCAGGCCTCGGCCATGGAGCGGGGCCGCTGCCGCCCGGCGCCAGCCGCCCGCCCGCCCCGGCCCAGGGGAGCCCCGCGGGGAGAGACACCCCATCCGAGGAGATTCCTGTGGGGAGAGATGCTCCGTTTGAAGGGATTCCTGCGGGGAGCGACACTCCATCTGAGGAGATTCCTGTGGGGAAAGACACTCTGTCCGAGGAGATTCCTGCGGGGAGAGACGTCCCATTGGGATTGCCGCCCTCCGCCACTGCGAGTGTGACACAAACGCCCGCTGGGGCCGTGGGGTGGGAGAGCAGCAGCACCGTCCCCACCGCTGCGGTCACTGGCACTGGCCTCTCTTCAGCCTCCAGCGCCAGCTGGGAGCCATTGTCCCCCGGGAGCACCGTGGGGTCCCAGGTGGCCGTCCCCGCTGCCACCCCAATGGGGCACACGGTGCAGGAGCCGGCCCCGGCTCACGGTGCACCCACAACCACCTGGCCGCAGACCGGTGCGCTGGCACCACCATTTCCCACCACCACCAGCTCCTCCGCGTCCCCACCGGCCTCCTCTGCGTCCCAGAGGCTGCCCACCAGCCCCACGGCTGCCCCTGGCCCCCCTCTGCCCGAAGGCACCGCGGGGAAAACCGGCCCTGGCACCGGCGTCACCGTGCAGGAGATGCCGCGCGCCCTGAGCTCAGGTGAGCGGAGCAGCCCGCCGGCTGCGGAGCCCACAGGCGCCTCCGGCTCCACCGCGGGCCCCGGGAGGGAGCAGCACCAAAGAGGGGAAAATAGCCCCAAGAAACAAAACCCACACACAGCCCCGCGGCCGCCCTGTGCCTCCGCAGGCAGCATCGTGGCCATCACGCTGACCGTCATCGCGACAGTGGTGCTGGTGTTCGGCGCGGCCGCCTACCTCAAGATGAGGTAAGGCCCTGCCCCGGGGGGCGCGGGTCTCCAGCGGGGGACGTGGGCAGCTGGGCATCAGGTCGGCCTGGTTTAAGGACCAACAGGCTCCACAAATCCCGGGCTGCCCGCTGCGCTTGGGCATTCCTTCTGCCGAGGAGCGCGCGGTGCCCGCGGCGGGCGGCGGGTTGGGGCTCCGGCCGGCGCAGTGACCCGGTGCCTCCACCTTCCCCTCCGCAGGCACTCCTCCTACGGCCGGCTCCGGGACAGCCACGACTACGGCTCGTGGGGCAGCTACAACAACCCTCTCTACGACGACTCCTAGCAGAGGAGGCGCAGAGAGACCCTTGTTTGTGAGTGTTTCTTTGGCTCCTCTCCCGTGCGAGGCTTTCCGGATGCTTTCCTGCCTTGGACCTGCTCTACGGTACCGGCATCTGCCACATGGACCAGGCCGAGAGGGGCAGAGCTGGCGCTGGGGCTGGGTGACAGTGCAGAGCCTGCCCTGCTTCACCTGCCCGCAAAGCCCGTGGTGGCACCACCAGGCCAAGCTCCGCGGCCGCGGCCAGCCCCAACACAGCACCAAAATAATAAAAAGCAACCAAAAAAAAACCCTCCACCCCACCATAATTATAAAAAGAAATATCCCCCACACTTCTTGCTCCACTTGGTCTCGTTGGAGCCCGGCGCCCGCCTGGGTCAAGGCCTTTGGCGCCCGGGGTGGCTGACGGCCCCTCGCCGAGGGAGGAGCAGCCCAGGTGCTGCGTGCGAGGCAGCCCGCGGCGCCGCGGCCTCTCGCGTGGAGACAGACCGGCAGGAAAACCCGCCCGCCTTCTCCTGGTGCTGCCCTGCGCTCAGCACTCGTGCTTTGGGCCGGGAAGCGCAGGTTGGAAAAAGAAAAAAAAAAAAAAAAAGAAAGACCTTAAAACCAGTTTTTGCTGTTGGATTTTTTCCTCTGGAAAGTCAGGGATCGCGGCTAGGAAACATGAATGAGGTGGCCGATTGGGAGGCAACGGCTTGGCCCCCCAAGCGAAGCGCTCTCTTGCTCTGCTTCGCCATAAGGATAGATGAAGGGAAAAGTCCCCCGGAAAGGGGCAGCCGGATCTTACATAGGAAAAATACTCGCTAAAAAGCACTGGGGGAGGTGGGGGGTCCCATCCCCGGCCCCTCGCTGCTCGCTCGACGCCGGGCTAAGCTGTCCTTGGTGCCGGGGCCCGGCGGGCCGTTCCGCGAGGACACCGCGCTCTTTCCCACGCCACCCAGCTGCTGCCTGGCAGTAAATCCCGCGGCTAAAAATAGCGCCGCGCCACGGATTGCCTTTTTTGGGGGGGAGAGGGGAAAAACATATCTGCAAGGAGGCTGGGTAGCCGGGCGAGTGGACGCAGCGAGACAAAAATGGGCTCGGGGAGCCAGGAGCCTGAGGCGGATGCCGAAGATGACGCAGACGGCTCCAGTTTTCCGGTTAACCCGTGCGCACGTGATACTCAAGTGTCCTGCCTGTTTGCATTCCCTTCATAAAAGAGAGGGCGGGATGGGATGGGATGCGATGGAATGGGATGCGATGGAATGGGATGAGATGGGATGGGATGCGATGGGACGGGATGGATGGGAGTTACCTGCCTGCCTGGGCAGCTGCTGCCACACGGCACTGCTCCGTTCCTCCCTTCTCAAGGCTTGCACTGCCAGGAGTTACAGCTCCGAATGGCGTGCGAAGCGCAGGGCTTTCCCAAGGAGTCTTGGATGACTCCAATGAACTTGGCTTTCCGAGTGCGTTTAACAGCCACTTAAAATGCTCTGTAACAAATAAATCCATAAATACAGGAGGAACATAGCCACCCACAACACCCCAGCTCAGCCCAGCAGCCCCCCAAGCTGGGGGGACAGGTCATGTTGGCAAGCGCAAGGGCTGGCTAAGTTCAAACCAAGCCTAAAAACTTGCTACTTTCTCCCCGCATCCCGCAGAGTTCAGCCCAGCCGCGGACGGTTGGCCGCTTCCACACACAAGAATGACAAGTGAGATGCTCTGATTTTCCTCCAAGCCTCCCACGCATTTCCCTCTCCCCTCCCGGCCTTTGGGCTCTCTTTTCATCCCAAGGCTGTTTTGTTTCCACAAAACGGGCTCGCCTGGCTCCGTCCGCAGCATCGCGGGCAGCGGGGCAGGGCAGGGGCCCCGCTCGGCACAGCAGCGCTCCAGGAGCGGGGAAGCTCAACGGGCTCTTCCTGCTGCCGCTTGTCCCCCCGGATGCCTGCAGGAATCCATGAGATCCAGTGGGATCAGCAATTTATTAGCAGAAATTACTCTGCGGTGCTGCCTCCAGCCGCAGCTGAACAATGTGGTTTACGCGGAGGCCAGAGCGGTTCATTCCTGGTTTCAGCACAGGCAGCAAATAGCACACGGGGTATTAAACACGCGAGCAGTGCCAGAAGCGCTATCTTATCTTCCCAGTGTGTATTCCCACGGCTCCAGGGCCCACCAGCTGCCTCTCCTACCAAAAAAAGCAATAAAACAAAATTTCTCCGCAATGCCAGGCCCAAATGTCCACAGGAAGACGCAGGCAGCCTGAGGAACCTTTCGTTTCCCTGGGTTAATTGCATTATTTAACAGATAAACAGATTATCAGCATTTTCTCAGGGAAAGCAAAACGCAGAGCCTGATTTGCTGGTAGCAAGCCAAGTGCCATGGAAAAGCCTGCTGGAAGGGGCACCAGGATATTTGGTATCAACCTTCACAAGCATTTCCCCGTTCCCATGTTCCCTGTTCCCACGTTTGCCCTGTCTCACGGGGGGGAAATAAACAGGCATGGTCCACCCCGTAGTGCTGATGCCTCCTCCACAAGGGCTTCTTTAACTATATTTATCTGTATTCCAGCGGGTTAACGGCCAGGCTGCTGCCTCGGCTTCTCCCTCAGGGCTGTTCGGGGGTTATTTTTCCAGGATGGTGCCTTGCTTTCGCAGGCGGATTCTGCTGGACCAGCTGAGCACACTAGCGTCCCTCCGCATTCTCCCATCACCACGCACTCACCCTGGCACTCAGCCACGGTCCCACGGATCACCACGGCCGGCAGCTCCGGGTCTCCCCGCCAAGGGCTCGGACAGCCACGGAGCACCAGCGCGGAGGCTTCCCGCTCGCCAGGTTCTCAGCGGCAGCCTCAAGGGAAGAGCTGAACAAGCCCGAGGAGCTGCAGGGAAGAGAACCACAGAATCGTTATGGTTGGGAAACACCTTCGAGTTCATCTAGTCCTAGTGTAAGTGGGTCCCTCTCCCCAGCTGTGGCAGGCGGGCCGGCAGCTGGCACAGGCTGCCCAGCCCGAGGCCGGCTCAGCAGAAAGGCAAGAGATTCCTGCTCCAAGAGGAGCACGCGGACTTTTCCCACCGGAGGCCACCGAGCCCGTGCTGACAGCAGGGCCCACGCCGGCCACGGCACCCATGGCGCAGGGCACGGTGCCTCTGCGGAGGCTCGCAAGGGTTTTCAGCCGCAGCGGGCCACTCGCACGCACCGCTCGTGGGAAGCACCGCTCTCCCCGCACACACGGCTCAGTGGGGCCAAGACGCTGGGTTTATCCTTAGTGAGATATTCTCTCCCTGCTCCCCGGCAGGGCTTGCTGCTTGCCCAGCCCCACGGGCTGCTTGTCCTCATGGAGAGCAGTGACTCAGCCGCCTCCCCGGCTGCTCTCCCAGGGCTCCTCCTGCACCAGCCGCTGACTTCATCCATCTTCCCCACGCAGGCCCCACACTGCGCTGTGTCGGCAACAAAAACGTCGCCTCCCGCAAACGCTCCCCGGGCTAACACACAGGCACCAGCTCGGCGCCCTCTACCCAAGGAGCTCACCCACGAGGAAAAGCAGGGCTGTTTTAAAGTCAACTCCGCACCTGGTGTTTTTATTATGTAAGAGCACGTATTTATACCATGCACATTTTGGGAACTGCTTCAAGCTTGTAGCAAGGGATGGAGAAAACACCACCTAAAGGTGGGCTAGGTCCATGAACACACGCCTGAGCCACAGAGCCAGCGTGTCTGCGGTGTAACACTGCAATACTCAGAACAGCATGAACGTAAAGGAAGGGGGATGAAGGAGAAATCCACGAGCAGCACTGACCTGTGCTCATGAGCTCAGCTGAACCCTCATTTTATGGGACCTCATTGCCTTTTGAACTCAGCTAGAACAGCCCAGGAAGCCTGGTGTAAAATTAAACCACACCAAGCATCGCATAATTTGTTTTAATAGACGTTGTTTTACATTCCTTTTCAACAATCGGAACAGTGCCTCAGAAAAACATACCCAAGTAAACAGAAGTTATAGTAACACGATCAGCTGATTCCTAGTACTTCATATGTAAGAGGGCAGGGGCAGAAGCCGTCTGCTGCTCTGCCACAGAGCAAGTCAAGGACACGTCACTGTAGACTGGAGGGAACTTCTCCACTTCATGCAGCTTGGACAGCAGGAGCCCTGCCCCAAAACACTTGAGCTTTCCACAGTTCTCAGAAACAAAGGACGTGCTGCAGTACTTGGTTTGCAAAACACAGGGCAGGTATATAAAAGGGTGGGATTCTTTTATTCCTTAAAAAAGGAAAAAAGAAAAAAGGACTGGTCCCTGTACAACGTGGCAGTGCCTTGCTGAAGGGCTGCACCTCGAGCAAGTCTCTCGGGCTCGGCAGGCCCGGCCGCGGCGGCGCCGCTGGGAGGCTGGGCGCTCCCCGCCGCGCGCCGGCCCGGCCACATGCCAGGGTACATACGTGGCCCAAACACCACGACATGACACCGAGGCCTCTGCACCTGAATAAGGCAAAGCAGGAAGGATGGGTTACGTGCCATTACAGCCAGCAAAGGAATCTAAATTAGGAGGTGCCAAGTCTCCCTTTAGCACGGGGCAGCCCTGCTTTGGAAATGCATTCTGCACTCGTGCTGTGCCTGCTTGTGTCCCCAAGCTGGACTGACAAGTGGCTGGTGCAAGCTCATCCTCTCCATCCATTTGCTCGATGGCTCCAGGCCCTCTGAGACGTCACTTGCAAGGGAAACGCTTTCACAAAGCGCTGCCACGTCAGCTTTGCACCGAGGAATCACCTCCGAGCCGCCCATGCTCCCCACGAGCGACTGCCACAAGGGCTCGGCCTCTGTCCTGCCTTGCACTCGCAGCCTGGGCCAGCAGGATCCACCGTGGGCTGCCCGCCTCGCCACACGCTCCGCGCCGACGCCGACCGCTCGTGTCTCTGACACCTCGTTGTTCTCCGAGGCTGCCTCTCCTCGGAGGTGCCGAGCAGCTCTTGCCCAGGGTGCCACTCTCATCCAGATTGATCCCGTCAGGCTGTCACGCAGCGCTGGGTGCGGAGCTTCCCGAAGAGCGTGAACACACTGCAGCAGGTACCGAGGCCGGGGAGGCTCCCTTGGCCAGCCCAGAGCTCTGTAACCATCATACTGTTGACAGGCTGGGATAGTTTTTAACAATTTTATTTTCTTAAAAAGGAAAAATAAAGACGTGTCTTCCACAGTAGCGTTTTCTTTCAGTGGGTGCATGCAGCACGTGTCTGAGTGGCTGCTACTCCAGAGTCAGCCTGCATTTTCCATCCTGGGCAGTATTGTAGGAGTCGCAGTTCGTGCACTTCATGCCTAGGAGATGGAAGTGCACTGTAGAGCGGGCATGGCAGTCGTTACAGAGGATCTGCGCACACACGAGGGAGAGCAAGAGAGGCTTTAGCAACAACAGGACGCTCCGTGACACGTGACGAGCAGGCTTTGAGCAAGCACAAAACTGCTCTGCAATCAGAGCACCAAGCAGGAACATTCTCCTTCTGAAGACAGACAGGTGTCTCAAGAGAGCAGTACACAGGCCAGAAGGAATTTTCAGTTTGCAACTACCAAGCAGGCACAAGAAGTATTTCCCTTTTGTACTGCACAGGTCTCCTGGCATGGATCACGTGTTTGTTCTGAAACCTGAAGCTCCAGACTCTTAAACACCAGGCTGCTGTTCTCTGCTGTGACAACTAGTGCAGTGCTAGAGCACCTGGTAGGGTGCTGTACCCAGATTTTTTTTTGTTTGTTTGTTTTAGGTCTCTTTAACCCCTCCCCTTCATTTTTAATAAGTACATGAATACTATAATCCTGCACGAGAAAGTTTTCCTCACATCCCAAGAGTCTCTCAGATTTCTGGTGCCCTCTACTGCCCACGGGGGAAAGGTGCCAGCACTCACCTCCACCATCATGTTCTGGTACTCGGTGGGCATGGGCGTCTGCGCCACCTCGTCATCCAGCTGCCGCCAGTACCTGCTCATGTCCAGGGCCGAGTGCATGCACACAGGACACCTGTAGCCTCTGCCAAAGAGAGGCAAAAGCTCTAACTCAGGAGACTGACATGGGCTAAGTCCACTGAAAAGGACAGGCTTCTTAACACAGCAGTCAAGGAAATATTTAAGGAATGGGAATATCCTACAGAAAACCTGGGAGTTATAAAACTCATTTTCCCTACGAAGTGTTGCCTTTAGATAATGATAACTGGATTACGTTATCTTTGCCTCTCTAAGCACTCTGCCTAGATGACTACAAGGTTAAGACAAGGCAGTGTTAGAAATACTTACTCCTTTAACATCTCCTCGTAACACGTTCTGAAAAGGAAACACAGTGAGAGGTTTAGTAAGAAAAGAGAAATTTCTGATCAGTAACTCATTTGTGCAGAAGCACACAGCTATCCCCAAAGCAAAAGCCAAAACTATCCCGAGTTAAAGGGGAAAGAGGATCTCCCAGCAAAGGAGCCCAACCAGACCTGCAGCAGTGCTCAGAATACAGCACGCACAAGAGGACAGGGATCAAATATTTGCAATATTTACCTGTGCAGAAGGTGACCACATGGCAGAACATGAGCTCCAACACGAGAGGTATGAATATCCTGCAGACAAGACGCAGAAAAGAACTGTTAACTAAAAACAGAGAAAAAGGTAGAACCAAGCACAGTTTTAAGAGGCGAAGAGAAGTCACTCACCTCCAAACATATTGGACAATCCTGCCGGGAGACGTTTTCTATGCACTGTGCAAAAACAAAAGAAAAATTGTTATACTGCACATAGCTGCAGTTTTTAAGTCTAAAGTTCCTTTAATATAAAGAGGTATAAGCCTCACTTTTTTCATTTACGGTTGAAAAGTTGAGAATTAACAATTGGTCTAGTAAAATAAAATAATATTAATATACTTTAAGTGATATACAAAAATGGTATATTATATATATGTGGGAGTTTCCAGGACCTCCACAACAATAAATAGCTTTGTTCTTCCTATACTAACAGCAGAAACAGCATCTCAGACTGATACACTGCCATATATACGGTAAATGACTTTTAAAAACAGAGCTGAACATGACTGAGATGTATGCATTTGGTAACTTACATCCCAAGCAGAGTCCCCGTAGAAGGGTTACGTGCTGCCATTCTGCACAAATGTATTTAGAGAAACAGCAAAGCCAGGCTTTACCTACCTGTACAGCTTTAGATCAATTTAACGCACCTCCAATTGTGGGAAATCTCATTTTTTAAATTATTATTTTTAAAGAAAAGTAACAGAGTGCTATATTCTCACCTTGTGTTTTCCCTGAAGACTCAAGTTTAGGCATAAATTACATTTTGAGCAGTGGAAGAAATCTTCCTTTGGACCAATCCTAAGGAGAGAAGGCCCAGTCAAGGACAGCTTTGTACTTTGTGCGCAGCTCTGTTTTATTTTCTACCCAAACACTCTCTGAGCAACAGAAGCCAAACAGTCCCCAAGTCAAGCTAGTTACAGAAGAGCTGTAATTCACACAAACTATAAACCTGATCTTGTTCTTCGCAATATGTTGCTCTGACTGAAGTAAAACCCAGTAGTGCTTAGATTAAAAATAATGAGTGCAAAGGGCTCTCTCGAGCCGACTGCATCACACCTCCAAGACCCACTATAGGAGACACCTAATGGAAAGCACCCACACCTGCCGACAGGAGACAAGCTCCAAAAAGGTGTTTTTTTGTTGGTTTTTTTTCCCCTTTTTCTGCAGAAGCAGCCCGCCCACACCTGCAAATGCCGCACTCGGTGCAGTGATACTGCTTCTTGTCACGGTCGAAAAGGTGGCAGATGCTGCAGTAGTACTCCCCGAAGAGGTTGTGGCAAGCCTCGCAGCTCTGCTGCGCCTGCCGCCCCGCGCCACGACACAGCAGACGGAGAAGGAGAAACGGGAGACAACCGTTAGCTGCGCAGCGCCGCCGGCTCCACCCCTAAAATGGCGCCCGCCCCGCCCCCGAAATGCCCGCCCCGCCCCGGAATGGCGGCTCCACCTCCCAAAATGGCGCCCGCCCCGCCCCGGAATGGCGGCTCCACCTCCCAAAATGGCGCCCGCCCCGCCCCGCGATGGCGGCGGCCCCGCGACGCGGCGCCCGGCCCCGGCGGCGCGCACCTTCTGCAGGCGGCGGCAGCGGGCGCACTGCACCTCGGCCACGCGGAAGCGGTCGAGCCGGTGGCCCTCGGCGCCATCGTGGCACAGGCGGCACGCGTAGAGCTTCCCGCAGCACGGCGCCTGCAAGGGGACACGCGGCAGCTCAGCGGCGGCCCCGCCCCGCCCGTGCCGGTGCCCGTTCCCGCTCCCGTTCCCGTTCCCGCCGCCTCACCCGCAGCAGGCAGCCGCGGCGGTAGTGCTCGCAGCCCTCCTCGCCGCCCGCCGCCATGGCCGCGCCCGCCCCGCCGCCCCTTCCGCCCCGGGGAGGCGGGCACTGCGCATGCGCACAGCGCAGCGCCTTCCCCATGGTGCTATGGATAAGGCTCCACCTATACGTTGTGCGCGTGTATAGGGGGTACAAAGGGCAGTACATGCGTACCTAAACTATGTGAATAGGTTCGTATAGGTGCACATAATATAGCCACACTCCGTGTGGTTATATTCACACATACACACACTGTCTTTGCGCACACATATCTACCTATAGCCCTATGTACCCTTCTATAGATACACTGTGTGTGAATCCCCGAGGCAAGGGCCCTATGCAAGATGCATCTCTCCGGGCCTTGAGGTAGGAGAGGCAACCTGGTACAAGGAGGCATCTAAAAACGTGCACTTACCTAAAGGAGGTGAAGCTGGCCGCCAGGAGTTCAGAATAGCGTTTATTTATAAAATGTACACGTCCAAGGCAGAACACAGACACCAAGACACGCACGTGATGACACCTCTTCTGCTGTGAGGCGCTGACAGGGAAGGGTCCTACACGCTGTGGGAGGGCAGTACCAGTCCCAAGGGAACGCCACCAGGCAGGGTTGGAGCTGCCAGGAACAGGAGCAACGCGGGGCGACCACAGACCACCCCGAGGCAACCTGAGACCCTTAAACAAAAGTGCTCCGTAACTGCCCAAAGTTACCGGGCAGCCGTTCCCTTTTTCCCCTCCCATCACTGCTGAGGGTTGTAGGCAAGAAAACTCGCTGCAAAGCCAGGGAGAGGAGGGAGCCAGGGAAAAGGAACCTAGCCCAACTTGGCCCATGCTCCTGAGCTCTAACAGGGATCTCTAAGGAAACATTAGGATGTTTGACATCATCTTTCTTCCACAAGGACTTTCCATGGGCGTTTTTGTCAAGACAAGGATGCTTTTCAATACAGACCTGGTAGCTCACCATGACAGAACAAATTCAGCAGCTCTTTGCTTTCTTTGAATAACAGCCCTTTGGGAGAGCAGTGGTTAGACAAAAGGAAACACTCTCCTCTTCAAAAAACCCTCCAAGCCACTCCCTGTCACACGCCAGTAGCCACTGCTTCCTTTCTGAGCAGCTTCAGTCACAACCCGGCCCTAAGCCAGGAGGTCACACTGCATTTTGCATGCAAGAAATGCAGCAGCAGCGAGCGTTGTGTCCGCAAGCCGGCCCCGAGCTGCACCCCACGGCAGCCCTGGCGCTAGCGGAGCAAGGCAACCTGCTCTCCTCTGCACAAGCCCTGCAGCATCAGCATCCGGAGCCTCCGCAGGGCTCTTCCCACTCTTTCAGCCACCTGCATCAAGAGGAGAAAGACATAGTGAAATTACAGGCTAACAAGGACATTCCACGATGACCCCCTTCCTTTACTCTTATTTAATACATGTCATTACTTTCCTAAAGCTCTATTTCACAGATGGGTCAACTGTAGTAGCATTTCTTTTCCCCCATTTACATTGTTGGGATTGCTTCTCACCGCAGTGAGTTTTCTTCTTCCTTACCAACAGCTCTAAGCTACTGCAGCACTTGCATTTTCAAGCACCAAACACACTTGTATGGCATAAGAGCCACTGCATTTGTACACAAGATGAAAAACAGATTTCAGAGCCAGCACTTGCTCCCTCTCCTCCAAAAGGAGAGGGAATACAGGAGGCCAGTGAAAGGTGGAACAGAGTGGTGGACTTCACACTTTCATCCTAAGACATTTACCACAGGCAGGTTTTCTCCTAAACCTTCTTCTCCCTCAGGCCTCTACCTCATGGTGGGAGAACACTGAGCTACCAGCAACTAAACGAACCCAGCTGAACAAAGTTAAATTGTGTGACATAGCTACTAAATGACTTCCACACTGTTAAACTTCATAGTCCCCACAAAACTCCCAGCTACCATGAGCATTCACCAATTGATTCATTTGAAAGACAACAGCTGCAAAGCAGAAATTAAAGCTTACCAGTTATTGGCAGGTGTAACCACAATCTGTCAGGTTAGTGCTCGACCCTGGGGAAGGCGGCTTCCGATGTATCCGATATCAAAGTCCCTGACAGCTGTGAATTGGGTAGGAAGAAAAGGGAGAGGGTCAGGTCCAGTTGGAGTAATAGAGATATCTATCAGTAATTTCCTTCTGGGCACCTTGGCAAGCTCGGCCCAGGTTCTTTTATGAAACTGGACTTCAAAATATGTATTTGTTGTTGAACACAAGCTGACAAATCTCAGCTGCGTGTAATCATACTGTCAATTTGGAGAATTACACATCTCTCAAACAACCTCTTGATGTTACTGAGGAGCTAATTTCTGAGAGGTGCATTTTTCTCCTTCTCTCCCTATGCTCATCTTCAATTCTTTCTCTCTCTCCCTACTGCACTTGCCCTCGTAACATCCCTCTAACGCAGCCTGGATAGTTCGGCTCAAAATTGCCAGCTCTCCATGTCTCCCTTTCAGCTCTGGAAAATTAGGTTTTCTTTCACCTTGATTCAGCCTCCTGAAATAACAGGAACTTCCAGTGTCTGTCTTCTCAGCGAACGTCTTGCATTTAGCACAGAGAGAAAATAACACTCCTACCCTGGATGGGAATCATCCAGGACCCTTCTCCCCTTCTCAGCTGAAAGGTTTCAGGCCTTGCAACTGCTTTTCCACAGATGGCACAGGAAAATCCCAGGCAAGTCCTGCTCATGTTAAGAGGCAGGCTGGAATCTTGTACAGCACACTACTCAAACACAGTTTAAAGTCCTGAACCAAAAGCGCAACAAGTAGCACAAAATATTGTATTGTTACCTGCTGTGAAGCCAGATTTGGGTTATGCAGGTCAATGGCAGCAAGGGAGGGGATACGGGATTCCGAAACGGTTTTGTTCTCCTTTTTGTGCAGTCTGGGATTCCATGCTACAAAATGCAACCAAGACAGACGATGTTAAGAAGCAAATGCTGACAGGTTTAATGCACACTGCTTCCTGGAATTGCTTAGGATCTGGGCTTGGTTTAAAGGACAGGAAAGCTCATACCTTCCACTGCTCTCAGCTCAGGGAGATGATTGAGCTCTGGCAAACGCACATCAGTCTTGGAGAATTCCCATTTTTTCTTATTTACTGGAAGGATTGTTTTTTCATTAGAAACCTGCAAGCAGGTGAATGATATTAGTTACATTCAGATGGAAAAAAAAAAAGTTGCTGTCACATTTTAATCTTAAAAATATATAAGCATAGCAAGATACTACTTTAGCTAGAACTTGGACCAGATAATAATAAAAGATTCTCTGAAAAGATTTTTAAAAATTCATTCTGATCATAAGAAATCTATGCATTAAAAACAAAGCTTCCACAAAGATAAATAAATAAATAAATTTAAATGAGACTGCTTTCAAAGATATAAAATATAGCTAGAGAATGGCCCAGCTTAGCTCTCTCTAAATAAAGGCAACCATTCCTACCAACATAGAAGAAATATTGCCTGGGTAATAAGTGCACTGCAGAGCTTTACACTTCACTTATTTTCACAAACGATTTGACTGTATTTATGACCCCAGTAAAACAGGGACCCACCTCTGCTAAGTCCCTACCTTAGGAAAAGATCATGGGTGAAAGAACTATAGGAAAAAAGGGGCAGAGGAATGTTGTACTTCTAATTAGGATTTAAGGGGAAGGTTACAACAGGACAAACTCTTGACAATAAAGCTAAGAATTTATTTTTGCTTTGCTAAGTGGGAAGGAAAGATCACTTACCGATGTTAAGCTGACACTGTAATGGCCTGCTGGAGAATGTTTTCCTCGCTTTAGAAATGGGTTCAAGTATGTTTTATTCTTCTCCTCAACTCTGTAATCAAAAGTGCCCCCATTGCATTATATTATATTTACATTACCCAAGTTAATATAATTGGGTAAATATAACATCTGTATAAATATTTAATTATAATATATTAACATTCTATCTATATATTAATATAATCTTTAATCATATAATATATTAACATTCGATTACAATATATAATATGTATTATATGTATATATTTATATATATATATATATATAAATATATGCACTGGCCCTTGTAGCCCCCTCCAGTACCTATAGCTACGGTTCGCAGGCACGGGTCCCATCCCAGCAGTGATCCTCAGCCCGGCTGTTGTGGCGGAAAGGTTCTGGTTGATGGGAGGAATGACGATGCCTGCGTTCTTGGCATAGTCCAAGCTGCTGCTGGAGTCCTTCAGGCTGGTGTGAGGAGCTATTTTAAAGGGGTTGAGTGCACTGTCGTAGAAGGAGCTCAGGTTGGAAGGTCGCTCCGCTTGCTCCGCATCTGCTCTGGAGCGCTTCTCCTTGAACAGCTTGGCCTCTCTGCTCCTTGGCTCAATGTTGAAATCCTGTTTGGACAAATATGCACGATGCAGCAAGAGGAGGGGAGAGAAATAAATAAATCAGGAGCCTAAACCTACAGGATTCTGCCAGAATCTGATGGAGATTAAAAGTGTTTTGAGCAAAAGCTGTTTTCCATCAAGTAGCAGGAGGCTTGGGAGGGTTCTGGCGCCTTTTGGAAATAAGTCACCTTACAGTGGGGTAAGGAAGTGATAGAACAGCAGCCATTTCCCGTGTCATTTCCAAAGAGATGAAATGAGAACTGAGCTATGTCACCTCAAAGCCACTCTGAAGCCTCCAGTCATAGATGATTCAGAGAAAGATAAGCAACTTGGGAGACAGGGCTTTAACACGGGTAAACAGCATCTTAAAATCATGTTTCTTATTCAGCTGACCTACACTTTCTAATTGATTCTCCCTCCAGCTTGGTATGTTTTCATAAAATGTTTTGTAAAATATAAAATTTTGCATGCAATTTAACTGCAGCACATACCTATAGAGCAATTTTAAGAGATAAAAGATACAGTCACAGAAAAGAAGGATGGACTAACCTTGATAGCAAGCATTTTTCTTTCTTCTCCCAAACAATCCTCTTTGTCCTTTTTACTGAGTTTTGATTGCTTTTGTAATTGATGGTCTCTGGCATCCTTCTGAATCTTTAATTTAAGCTCCTGAGCAAATCTATACTCCATATGGAAAAAGAAAATGAATTGATCCATTAATCACAAATCATTTGGTGTTCAGCCCAAGCTGCTGTTACAGCTTTTAAAGTAATGAAATAAACTACGCCTTTTTTAAGGAAAGAATGGAACAAGGGGAACATATCCATTAAAAGATACTTTTAATTACAAAACCAAGACATTTCAGCAACTCTCAGCCCTGCAAATGCAACATGTTTGCAAATGCAACATTGTTTAATTTACTTCTCATATTGGCCTATTTTGAGCAAGAAACAAACTGTTTTACCTTTCAGCAAATCCATCCTTGTTAAAGAAATCACATTGCAAGAGTTCAGCACAGGAAGGCCTTTTGTCTGGGTCAATCTGCAAACATTTCTGGCAAATACATCAGAAACAAAACAAAGGCTTCAATATTCCCAAATGAAGTTGAGGAATAAGCTGCAAAGCTCTCAATTCTAGGGCCTGTTACACTGAGATGAGATGTGACAAGTGATCTCCAGAGAAAAAAAGTTTAATTACTTGCTGTTGCACCCATTTTAATCATTAACACTTACTAAGGCTCCTTCCATAGGGAATACCTGTCACACAACAGAACACTCCACTCTCAGTAAACCTCTCTTATTTTTGGTTACGTTTGCTTTGCTAAGGTTTTAGAATCTGTTTAGGTCCTTTGGCACTTCAAATACTGCCACATTGCTTTAGTTTATTTTAGTTGCTCCAGACCAGCATGCCAAGGCACAAGAACATGTGCTGGAAAGAGTCTTCAAAATTAATTATGAAGCAGGCTTCCTAACTCCCACACAGATGCAAAAAACAAGGTTAAGGCATGTTTGGGTATGACCACACATGGACCTTTCTGCTTGCATTGCTTCCATGAGTAGGTGGAGAGAAGGTTGGCAGAAAACGTTGCACCAATATAGCTATGCTAGCCAGGCAAAAAGTAAAAAAAAATAAAGTAAACAGGGAAAAAAAATCCATAAAGAACAGACCTTTGCTAGATCTAGCACTGCAGCAGACAGCTTGGGATATCGTCTGTCCAGAGGTTTGATGTCCTTCACTTCAGGCAGCCTCACACCAGCAAAGAGGGGATTTTTATGGAACAGCTCCTGGTGCCTTGGAATTAAATTGCCTGGAATCACAGTAACAGAGCAACTAGGTGGAAGAAACTTTCAACAGCCCTGCTGAATGTTCGAGAGAAGGTGAGACAGTGGCTGACACCAAGAGGCAGCGCTGCAGTAAGGACTGTATTCTGGTCTTCATCCTTCCAAACGTGCCCTCTGAACTGATGCTCTACTTAGAGGCTCCCAGTTGCCCCTTGGCAAAAGGAGCTAAGGATTCACACCCTCAGAAACTCCTCCCCACACTCACCTCCCCCTGTCCCAAGCCCATCAAAACTTATTTAACCCCTTAGCTTGCGGCCAGGCACTCGGAGCCTGACGGGGTGCCCTCACCCAGGCACTTGGTGATATGATAGAGCTGGTCGATGTCAGAGTCTCCAGGGAACAGGGGCTCTCCTGTCAGCATTTCTGTCACCAGGCAGCCGATAGCCCACACGTCCACAGCCCTGGATGAAAAACAGCCCGGATCAGAGGTGCTGGCACACCCAACTCACACCTTTGAGCTAAGCCAGACCAGTAGGAAAATCCCATGAAGTCCCATTCAAACAGGAAAAATCCCATTCATCCTTCATAAGTTCTATCATAGTCCATTTCAATAGTAATTAACATTGGCAGCCAGACAACTGTTACAGACAACAGGAAGGCCTCAACGGTCTCTTTCTTCTTGAGCTGGAAAATCCTAGCTCCAACAATAATTAACTCCAGGGTGGAGAAGGAAAAATTAAAATTTTGCAAGCTGCAACGCAGGGAATGCAGAACAGCCTCCCTTTAACCTGTCTGCCCAGGAGAATTCCCTTGCCTTCCTGAAAAGTGTCCCCACGCCTACCCCAACACCAGAACTCCTGTGCAGCCTCGCCTGCCAGTCTCTTACTTGCCATACTTGATGTCTCCCACCAGCAGCTCCGGAGCTCTGTACCATCGGGTTGCCACATAGTCTGTGTAAGCTTCCCCTGAAGCTCCTAGCGTGCGGGCAAATCCAAAATCACACAGTTTTATAACTCCGGAATTGGAGACTAAAATGTTCTCTGGCTTAATGTCCCGATGTATTATCTGCACCAGAAAAGCAAGTTAGGAGGAATAACTCACTATTTACACAGAGCAAACCAATTGCTTACCAAAAACACTAGCTTTTTCATATGCATGAGAAATTGCACTTTTGCAGGCATGAAAAATACATGGAGTCTGTAAAACACAGCGATGCACACACAGACAGTGAACAAGTGCAGGCTCAAGAGCACTTGTAAATACAAAAGCTCCAGTTTTTGCACACACAGTGGTTACTTTGGGTACCTCTCTGCATATTTGCTGTGTGTATATTCATCACATGTATTTTACAGATACAGTTTATTATGCTTGAAAATATGGCTTCTACCACGTTTAAAAGATGCATGGGTATTCTATATAAATAATATATAATATGCAAATTATATATGTATGCACATACAAGGATTAGACACACACACATATATATATTATATATAACTGCATATGTCAGTCACAAGAGTTGTGCTGAGGTCTCTCAAGGTCACGGGCACATCCTGCAGTCAAACACGAAGAACAGTTAAAGAATTCATAGCACAAGGCCAGTTTCCCAAAAATAAAAAAGAGAAATTACATATATTTACCCAGTTATGATTAAATTGGCAAATTTGTGTTAGAAGTAAACAGTGAATAACAAAAAGCTTGATGCTGAAGAGAGAAAGCAAGCATGCACATGCTTACATAGACCCTGTAACAACCAACATTTTGGGAGAGAGAAAATCTCTCACTGCAAGGTAAACGTGAGCCCCTAGGGAGGTGACATCAACTTCTGATCTACATGGATTTCTGGAGCCTCCCTCAGGAGCACGCGCACAGATCAGTCAGGGAAAACTCCTGGTTCAGCTGAGCTCACATTGCCATTTTATATCAGGCCTTCTGCCCTATTTCTTCATTCCCCTGCAGGCAAAGCTCGCTTTTGCCAAGCTTTAATGAACAGCCCCAGCACACATCTCCACATTTAGTCAAGGTTTTCACAGCTACAGACTTAAACCCTCACGAGCACTTACATTGTGACTGTGACAAAAGGCTATTCCTCTTATTATCTGAAATAAGTATTTCCGAACTCTGCTGTAGTCCAGTCCATTTGGAAATGCCTCGAGGTCATCGAGCACTGTGTGATCCACAAATTCAAACACCAGATACCACCGTTTCTTCTTTTTATACACTTCCAGCAGGTTCACGAGATTCTCATGTCTGAGTTGCTGTTGTAAAACAGGAAAGTTTGTGAGATCATGACGGGATTTATCAGGATGAATTAAGAGATGAGATACTAAAACCAAACACAATCAGCTGCACCACAGCTGGTGCATTTCTCTGGACTGCTCTACTTGACACAGCACCCTATTCATTTATACGTAAAATCACCTGCTTTTCCAAGTGGATATTTCTCCACCTTGCTGTCCGCAGCACTGGCAGTGCAGCAGGAAGCTGCCAGCCTCAGCAGGAGCAAACAGGAGCTGCGATGTGAAGGGCAGGCAAGAATATTTGGAAATATTCCCCTTGCCAAGGTCCCATTTACTTAGGAACACAGGTTAATTTCCAACATACCTTGCAGGTGCTACGTGCTTTGACTTCCTAACTAAGCCGGGCTTGCCAACAGGCCAGCTACAGTCCACACTCTGTAGACCTGTTTTAACTCAGTTCAAGGCAATGACCCTTTCCTAAGCTGGCTGCATCTCAAGCCCCAGCAGGTACATGTTTAGTCACACCTTAGTGCCCACAACTTGTAGGAATGGCAGAGGTCACTTTTTTTTCCCCTCCTTCACAGCACAGGAACTACATAAACCATATAAAAAACAAAGCCCAAAGGGGAAGCAGGAGAAAGAAGACATGACAAAATACAGACCAGCACACCAAAAAAAAAAAAAAAAAATCCCTTTTTAGCTAAAATTCTTGGGCATCTTCCCAGACAGATGATCTACAGCCAAGGAAGAAAATTATCTTTAATAAACCAAGCTCCACAATGAGACTACAGGGGCCATAAAAATAAACAAACCTTTCCTAGAAACACCTTTCCACAGCAGCTGAGACAAGCATCCTGCCTGGCTAAGACCCCAGTTCACCTCCAGGTTGCCATTCACCTGCAGATATGAGGAGCTCAGCGTTTGTCTCTTCTACCTCCAGGTGCTTGTGGTACCCATGGGTACTTAACACAGAGGGACACCTCAGTTATCACCAAAGGGCACGAAGCCCTCACTTCCTTTGGCTTTTCCCTGCTTACGCTGGCCACACACAGTCGCACTTCCTAGGAAACCAGGGCCAGCCGTGCACAGTCAGCATAACACCTAGCCAAAGGGAAAAGCAGCCCTGCAGGAACGCGGCTCAAAGGCCAAACAAATCTACCATGGCTTGTGGAAATACAAACGGCACCTGATCAAGGCTGCTTTGTTCTGTTCTCCTTTTTCTTTCTCATTTATACAATTTAAGCTGCTGACGAGTAGATCTGACCGGGTTCTCCTTCCAGGAAGGCTTTCTCAACTGACCTCATGCCTGAAAGAATTACCCTACCCTGGAACTTCTCCGGGCAAACACCACTTCCTAAGGGACTATGAAGGCAGCCACAGGAAGCAGTTTCTACCTAAGCCTCCAAACCAAAGCTACCCTCCACAGGTAGAACAGACCCAAACCCAACATTGAGCAATTCGCAGGTTTTCCACAAGGCAGAACAGCAACATACATTTAATATTCCTCTTTAAGGCTTTATTTACTTTCAAGAAGACACTTAAACACATTACCAGTGTAATGTGTAGGGTGAAGCACAAAACACGCCCATCAGAGGTGCCCTGAGCCCAAGACCAGCAATACGCAGGATGCAGCCGCCTTCCTTCACGAGGAGGGCGCGCGCAGCTCACCTTCAGCAGTTTGATCTCCCGCAGGGCCATCTTTTTCACCGTGGCGTCATCCTCGCTCTCCAGGAACTTCTTGACCGCAACAATCTGCCCGCTGTCTTTGTTTCGGCATTTGGTCACCACCCCGTAGCTGCCTTCCCCCACGAGACCCAGCGCCTGGTACTTCTCCATAGCCAGGGCCTTCCCTCTGCGAGAGGCCAAGGAGTAGGAGTTAAATAACACTACAGAAGAAGGAGGTTTCGGGCTGCTCGGGTGCCGCTCGCTCCCCGGCCTCCCCACACAGCGCCCGCCGCCCCCGGGGCGCCGCTGGAAGGCGGCGGGCCGGGCCGCGCGCTTGGCGTAACCGAGGGCAACGGCAACCGCCGCGCTTC